AAAAAAAAAAAAAAAAGGTGTAACAATGAACAAGGCTAGAAGGAGACAAACTGATTACAGTGCAGGGAAAGCACATCTTTTTCCTAATGGGCACAGTGGCTCGGCGTGGCCGAGGTGAGACCACTGAAGAATCTGGAGGAAACGCAGAGATAAAAAGTGGCTTTTACTGAGTAAAAGGAAAAGGAAACTCAGCTGCATGATACAAAGTTCCAGTTTGATTAAATGACAAACGCCCTTTCCCATCCACATGACAAGAGCCTCATTAGCCCACAGGGGACACGCAGAAAGGACTGCTCCAAGGAGCTGGTTCCTGTAGTAACACACATGATCAGCTCCTGGGGAGTTCCCAGAGGCGAGGGCAGAAGGCATGACAGTCCCCACAGAACTACTTTACAAATAAGCTCTTTTTCAGGCATGTCTTACAACACTACTTTAAGAGATCTGAGCAGAAAATAGGGCAAAGGGCCGTGTAAGCAGTGCTGTGTGCATGTGGAATGTCCTGGTCTATGGAATCATGGAGGGTAACAGAAACAGTCTGGTTAAGCATTGTATGACGAGGACGACACGTTGCCGCCATGGCCTGTCCAGTTGGTGTGGATAAACTGTCCCGGGTTGGCTAAGAGTTCATAGGTATGAGCTCCAAAGTAATCCCGCTGAGCCTAGAAAACAAGAAAAGAGGTTGGTTAGCACAGCGTGTAGGTGCCTTACCCTTGGGGCCAGAAGTCAGTGTTGACACCTGCTCCACAAGCTTACCTGGATGAGGTTGGCTGGTAGCATCTCATGTCTGTACCCGTCATAGAAGGAGAGGGCAGTGGTGAAGCAGGGCATGGGGATGCCTGCCTGGACACCAGTGCTGACTACCCGCCGCCAGGAGGCCTGAGCAAGAGAGCAAGGCCAACGATTAGCGGTTTGCTGACAGAGACACTAACTGGTTCTATTTCAAAGCATAGCTTTTTACATACATGAATGCTAGTAAACAGAAAAAGCCTGCCCCCAGAGCAAACCCCACTGAGACAGGGCATGTGCCACCAGCTCTAGGCTACGTACCTGGCAGTTTTCAACAGCTGACTTAAAGAAGTTGTCAAGTAGTAGGTTCTGAAGTTCTGGGTTTCGATCAAATGCATCCTTTATCTTTCCTAGGAAAACACTGAAATAATTGAGAAGAAAGAAATCAGTGAATCTTTTTTTTTTTTTTGAGACAGAGCCTCAAGCTGTCCCCCTGGGCAGAGTGCCGTGGCATTACAGCTCACAGCAACCTCCAACTCCTGGGCTCAAGTGAGTCTCCTGCCTCCGCCTCCTAAGTAGCTGGGACCACAGGCGCCCACCACAACGCCCGGCTATTTTTTGGTTGCAGCTGTCGTTGTTTGGCGGGTCCGGGCTGGGGATTCGAACCCTCCACCTTAGGTGTACGTGGCTGGTGCCTTAGCCGGTTGAGCTATAGGCGCCGAGCCGAAATCAATGAATCTTAACTCTGGCAGGCTGAATGCTTGGCAGAAAGCAGGATGTATAGAGGATATTTCTCATCGCCTAACTTTTAAGCTCAATGAAAATACAGAGCACAAATCCCAGAGAAAAGGCTGGAGGCAATGATAGCTCTTATGGAACCAGTTTAAAAGGCACAGTGTGGACAGTTTAGTAAGAGCAACTGAGGCACAGGAAAGTGAGCTGCGAGAATGTAACCTGTCTTGTTGCAGGGGGATCTGGGGGTAGGGGTACCTGTACCAATTACACAGAAGCTGTTCGAGCAAGTGTCTTAAGGTCACAATTCTCCAGGCACAGCAGTGTGTGTCCTTCCCATCAGACCCCAGGCTGCCTCTCACTTACCTTCTGATGATGCAGCCCCCTCTCCACATCAGGGCGATGCCACCATAATTGAGGGTCCAGCCAAATTCAGTGGCTGCCTGTCTTAGCAGCATAAAGCCTTGGGCATAAGAGATGATCTTGGAAGCATAGAGGGCCTACAGAATGACACAGAGACTTGCTGAACTGCAATTAGAGGAACCACCTCACACCCAGTAGGCCCCTTCTCATCAGCAGTGGAGAGCCCAGAAAAGACAAGATTCCAGGGAAAGCCAGTAAATCAGGCTCAAGGTGAGGCTGAACTCTGCCTTGACCCCCACCACCTTGTGGCCTCATGTATTCTCCCACAAAACCCATAAGCCTCCCAAGGGACCAGCAAAGACCACCGGACTATGCCCCACCTTTCGAATGTCTTCCAGGAATGATTTCTTGTCACCTTCAAACTGGGTCTTTTGGGGACCCATTAGTTTTTTGCTTGCTTGAATTCTTTCATCCTTCAGAGACGATAAGCAGCGAGCAAAGACGGCTTCTCCTACGTGGAGGTATGAGGGGAGG